GAGCGTACCCATGCTGGCCGGTCGGTGGGAGCAGACATCGATCAGGATGTGCTGCAGGTTGGCAAAGATGTGTTCTTTGGGCATGTCCAGCTGTGCAGGGGCGAGAAAACAGTACCAAGGAAAATATTAATACTGCAACTTAAAAGTGTTTCTGATGTAATAACATTTCTATACGTCTTTTCTCGTCTTTTAAACTCTGTGTTTGGAACCAGGTATATTTCACTCACCATGGCTACCTGGGTCCTGACGAAGCAGTCGCTCTCCACCATGTACTCGTGACCCATTTTAAACAACGCCAACATTTTGGGGATGTTCACACCGACTGACCCTGAGAGTCAACAGAGAGACTTCATCAGATCTATGACGTCTTATCACAAACCTGAGACCTCTTCTTCTTCTCCACACACACAGGACGACATGTTTTACCTCTCTTGCTCTTTGGAAACTTCTTCCTCAGTTTGTTTTTTAGCGGCACAAGCTTCGGCAGCATTTCTGGAACTGCGACGTAGAAGTCGGCTGAAATCTCGTCGTCTAAGATCTAGAGAGGGAGGAGAGAAAAAGATTAAATTAAACTTTACTGATGCGCATGAGAATAAACTGTGTACATATTCAGAACAAGCCAGGACTGGTGCGTCCTCAGCAGACAGCTTTTCTACTGGTTTTTATTCAAACATGTTAACTCTGAGACCCGATGTCCGAGAATTAACCGAGTATTAATCTGTCAAAATTCTTAATATGGGTGATGATGAATGTCTAAAGTTCTCATGTGGTTTCAAACTCTACTCCAGCTCCATATACCTCTTACAGAGCGCTGTCCCCAATAAGAAAAATAACAGCATTATGAGTGAGTACAACAGTTAAAGTTGGATTTAAAATGTCACCGAGGCTGCCAGAAAGTTTGATCTTTGGTTTTTCAGTCGCTGCCGAGATTAATTCCTTTCAGTGTTGTTAAACAGCCGTTAGCGGTCGGACCCGAGCAAAATACCAATGCACCACTTTCTTGATGGCTCCCTGGACACTGCGTCGCGTTTTTAAAGAAATACAACATGTGTAGAACCATCGATTTTAAAGTTAAATGTTATTGAACAGCACATAAAAAAAATAAGAATTCACTTTTTCTAACAACATAAAAAAAACTGCTTTGGCTTGTTTTTTGTTCATTTTAACTTTGCTTGTAAAACATTTTTTTAAATGAATTCATTACAATCCGACTCAAATTCAAAAAGAAAAGTGATGAGAGGGAGAAATTAAAATTAAACTCTGTGTGAACTGTTTATACGTGATGTTTGACCGACTCACCGGCTGTATGAGCTCTGCTCCTCCAGCAACAACTGCTCCGCTATCTCGGGCAACTTTAGCTTGATTAGCATCCTGCAGAGAAAAACAGAGGCAACGTCACACGTGTGAATGATATTTGGGTGTGCGGTCGTCTGGCAGACCACAACAGCTCAATTCGTTATGGTCGTTAAAATGCACTTTTAAGTCGCAACCCACAACTTGTGCTGCTTGTCAGGAATATTAATCAAACCCTGTCCTGTGATGTGGGTCTGTGACCAAAGCAGCCTCCACCCGCGCCCCCTCAGCGCTGACAGGCAGGGTGACAAATGAAAAGGTGCTACTGCACATCTGAATCATGCTCAGACGATAGTAAAACAATTCATCAACAACACACAATCAATGGCTATGACATTAAGATTCAGTGAGCCTGAAGGTGCAGAGAGAGAGAGAGAGAGAGAGAGAGAGAGAGA